AAGGTCATGTTATTTGTAATACCTCAAGAGGTATAAATAGGCTTGGTTTTAGACCAAGTAAGAATTATCATGTTCATGATACCATAATAATAATATAATAATAACTTTGTAACAAAAATAATATCGCTAATAAAGGCACATAACACTTTTACAATAACTAATTGGACTTCTAATAAAATCCATAATAAACCTTTGCTGAAAAGCATACCTCACCTCAAATTAAGTCCATACTAACTAAGGGACGCCTTAGTTAGACAGTGGAAAATTTATTGATTATTTTTAGGCTTTGCCAGCAGTACTTCCATCAGTACTGTAGAGAGAGATTTGAGTAGGTTATTAGCTGTGTGCGAAGATAGAGGCCTGGGAATTTGAGAACCCTTAGCTGTGTGCGAAGATTGGGAGATTTATATATTGGAACTTTTGTTTTATTCTATATATTTTATTGGACACAACCCGAGCTGTAATTGAATTTACACGCTCACAATACACATCATTAGAATATTTTGCAAATTGCATATTTCTTTGATGAATGCAATAGTCTATTTATTAGATTTAAAATAAATGAACTTAGCTGTTCTTTGTATTTTTTTTTTTAATAATAAAGATAATTCTCTTCCTGTTCATCTGGAAAATTCACGTGACAAAAGATCTGTAATATAAGGAAAATTTTTCAAATTTTTATTTTGTTTCAATTTGTCTATTTTCTCTATTTTTGATATTAACTTTTTTGTGTATAACATCATCATTTTAGGGCTAAATATAGTAAATTCAGCAAACTTGTGCAACTTTGAAGCTCAAATTCTCCACAACAACATGACATATCAATGAGATGAAATTATGATTTTGTAGAGGAAGGTCTTGGCTTCAAATACATTAGTCACAGGACATTGCAGATCAAGTGTCATTCAATATAAACATTACAAATAAAATTATTATCATCCACTTCAAAAAAAAAAAATCTCTGTTTTTCATATAGCAAGCAATTTTCAACCATAATAAATTTTACAAATGTCCACTATGCTCAAGTAGGGATGGGAATGGTTTAACCCAAACCAGTTCAACTGGTGGTTTGAAACTGAACTGATGCGGTTTGGTTTACACATTTCAAACTGCGGTTTATTGAACCACAGTTAAACCCCAGTTCAAACTCCGATTTGAAACTGAGATTGTTACACATTACTGGTCACACTTATTCATTTTATATTGTTTTATTTATTTTACAAAATATTGGATATAAATATTAATTCACATCTTGATGCAACAAATTCTATATTATTGTTATTGTTATTGTTAAGGGATTTAACTACAACAAGATAATTAATTACATTTATAATTTACTATGGTTACTAGTATTATGACTTAAGAAAAGAAAAAAAAAGATGTCAGCTATTACTATTTACTATTATTATCATTATATACAAGGGCTAAGAAGGAAAAATAGATTGATAAAAAAAAAACATTTTAATTGAATTGGATTTACCAATTTTATTCAAATCGTTCATTTTATTAATTTTATTTGATTTAATTTTATTTGATTTATTAGCTTATTCAATTATTAATTTTATTCAAATTACATATTAGTTTATTTAAAAATCTTAATAACTGATGCCTTGATCCTAAACTTTGAATTGGACCTGATAATAAAATTTAACTATTTATTGTTCATAAAAGAAAATTACGATAACAGATATTTCAATCACAATTAATTGAATTATGGTGCTACAACTTGATATAGAGATCAGGCGGAACTCCAGTTATTGATGCAAACAATTTAAAGTACAAGCAAATATGAAGAGAATAGATAGTAGTGGTGTTTAATTGTTGGAACAAATAATTTGTTTTTTAAAAAAAAAATTTTCATTTTTATAAAAATAGATCACCAATAAAATTATAAAACTGCGGTTAAACTTGAGTTTGAACCGCGGTGGTAAACTGCCGGTCGGTGCGGTTCACTAGCCAAACTGACGGTTTATAAACCGAACCGAACCGTTCCCATCCCTATTAACTGGTGGATCACTAATTAAATGTAATGGGGAAATTTCACATCTAAAAAGGTTTGAAAAAAAGCAATGCCTAAAGTAAAACCTAAATTGAAAAACTCCTTTAAAAAACTTCAAAAAGATGAACAATTAAAAAATAATAGATCTAGGTTACATCTACCACACCTAAAACCAAAAGCAACTCAAACTCATATTATTAATAATTCAATTTCCCAACCTTCATTTTTATATAAACCTGAACATAAAATTTTATTGATAGGAGAAGGTACTTTTTACTTATTTTATTTATTTTTCTTTCTAATATGAATTGTTTGATTTTCACCTCCAAAAAAATTTTATTTTATTAAAACATCTCAGGTAATTTTAGTTTTGCTCATTCACTAATAGAAAACGTATTACCTGCCGCGCATTCAATCATAGCAACCTCATATGACAGTGAACAAATTGTTTATGAAAAATATAAAGATTCAAAAGAACATATAGACTCGATAAAATTTTTTGGTGGCCAAGTTTTATTTAATATTGATGGAACTAAACTGCAAAAATACAAAGATTTAAAGAATAAAAGATTCGATAGAATAATATTCAATTTTCCTCATACTGGTTAGTTGTCATTATAAACATTTTTATTATTATCATATTATTGTCTTTAATATTTTTATCAACTTTACTAGGTTTAGGGATTAAAGATCAAGATCGTAATATATTATCAAATCAAAATCTTATAAAATCATTCTTTAACTCATCAATACCATTCCTAACTTCACAATTATTATACTCTGATGACAGCAATGGTGAAATTCACATCACTATAAAATCTGGTTTACCATATGATGATTGGAATGTTAAAAAGTTAGCAAAAAGTACAGGTTTATTGCTCGTAAAGACAACCATGTCATTTTCCCCTGATAATTACCCAGGTTATGTACATAGAAGAACTTTGGGTTATAAAGATGGGCAAAGTAAAGATGATAACGAGGAAATAATAATAAAAAATCCCAAAACAATTATTTTTGTTAGAAAAGATTGAAAAGAAAATCTACTTAAAATAGTTAAATCATTAGCCAAGTTGCAGATCACTATTTTTTCCTCATTACTCATTATTATTATATATAATAAAATTGAAAAAAAAGTTTTCCATAATGTTAAAATTTGCGACCAAAATTTTCAAATCTTCATATAATACTTCGATTTCTTTATTATTATGGTTATTTTATTTTAATTTGTTTATTTGTAATTTCGTAAAAGCTGCTGATCCACCAGAAAGAACACCTTGCACTTTTCTAAACATTACTACAAATAAAATATATAACTTGAACCCTTTGACAAAATCTAGTGGGTAAGTTAATATCCATAATATTTACATTATCATTTTTATGTTTAACAAGAATTTGTTTAACTTTATAAAATTTTATTTTAGTGATGATTGGATAGTTGAGGGATATGATACAGGTTATACTTTCAGAATAAATATTTGTCATGAGCTTCTATACGACGTTGGTACGAAAGTTGGTATTTGGGGTGAAAAAGAAAATGAAAGAGGAGGTTCTTTAGGGTTAGTTTATTAATATTTATTTAATATTTATAATAATTAATAATAATGAAGGAATTTACTTCTTAATTATTTAATTATCCATTAATTTATGATTGAATGTTAAAAGAGAATTTAGCACAGAACCAATTGTTCGAGGTGAAATACAATTGTTTCAATCTATCCTTATTTTCAAATTTTTCTAAATACAATAATTAACAATAAGCTTTATAAATTTAAATAGGTGATAAAGTTATATTAAAATATAAATATGGTAATTACTGTCCAGGAGATAATGCCAAACGTTCGTCTTTAATTAGTTTTACTTGTGATCAATCTGTCAATGGAATTGTAAGTATTCAAATATGAGTATAAATACAAATATGTATATAAATATACAACAAATACAAATATATTAAATGTCTATTAAATTCTAAAAGGGATCACCAACTTTCGTTGATACGGATGATTGTACATATTTTTTCGAATGGAGAACTCCTGTCGCGTGTCCTACAGATGTTACAAACGCTACAATGAGTGGTTTAGGTGTCTTTTTCACAATGTATGTTTCATTATCAAATCAAATCCTTTAGTAATTATTATAATTATGACTAATTTTTAAAATTTTTATAAATAGTTTCATAATTGCATTGATTGTGTATTTGATTGGCGGTATTGTCTATAATAGAATGGTTAACCACGCTTCTGGTGTTTATCAAATTCCTAATTGGCAATTTTGGAGTAATGCTTGGGATTTTATTAAGGTGTTTATTTATTGATATTTATTGTTTTTTATGTATTTATATTTTAAATAATAATGATTTACCTTTTAAAAATAGGATATGTTTTTGAGTCTATTTGTTCAATGTTCGATATTTAAACCTAAACACTCCAGGAGAAGTTATACAAATTTACCTGGAGATGAATCTAATGTATTAATTAGTGATGATTTCGAGGAACATTAAATAAAATTTTTAAAAAATAATTCAATAAATAGTTATGATTATGATTATAATTAGCTTTATTATTATTGATTAATATTTTATTTTGCATATTGGAATTTTTTTATTTGATTTTAATGGTGTAAATAATAGGGGGGGTATATATATTTATATTTATTTATTCATATTATTTATTCATATGATTATAAATAAACATATTTTTAATGTGATTTTTTAGGGTTACTTTTTTATTCAAGTAATAATAATAAACTCTTGATTATAAAGTGTCGAAATCTTCAGGAATACTAAATTGACGATCAAATTCTGAACGTTCAATGTTGAATTTGTTGACACAATATGATTGAAGTATAAAAATATTTTCTAAATACATATATATATATGTGTTGCGTACAATATAATATTATTAAAATTTTTTTTTGATTTTTTGACATTATTAAGAAATTTTATATTTAAATTCATAATATTTACCAGTCCATCTGTTGGCTGCTTCAAATGCAAGTTTGGCATGTTTTTCTTTAAAAAAAATAAAGAATTTAGTCTTTACAATGCGACAGCTTGTTTAGGTACGTAAAATGTATTGATGATAAAATTATAAATTGCATACTTTTAGCTTCCATTAGCACAGGATCACATTCACGATATCGTTCCAATTCTTTTAAATACTGTTTTCTTTGTGATTCAACTTCTTCTAACAATTTCATTTTTGTAGTACGATCATCCTTTTGAATATGATGAATCGACCATTAATATAATATTATATATGTATATCATACGTATAATGCATAAATAACAAACCGATTCCTCACGATCTCCAGATACTTGTTTGATGACATTTTGTAGTTCAGTATTTTTTTCTTTTAATTTTGTAAATTCCTCTTTGAGTGTGTTTATCTTAACTTTTCGCTTATCAAAATAGTCATACACATTAATCAGAAATGAAACCAAAATATAATCGATAATATAGATAAAAACTTACTGATTGAAGTGAACTACTCGGAAATGACCAAAAGTAATTTGATGTACCAATCTTATCAGTAGCAACTAAATTATCATCTATTAAACTTTGTAAAACGTCTTTAACAGACTGTGATACTTTTTATTTACAATATTAATAATTTGGATTTATATAAATAAATGTAATATCTAAATTTTGAAAGATTTTAATTAATTACCGATTCCTTTTATTTTAGGTGCAATTTTTTCTAATTCTTTCAATTGATAAAAATCTTTCTAGAAATATATACGTAATTAGGAGAAAACATCAATAAAGTATGTTATATAAAAACATTATATCTTTTGAAGAAACTCATTAAAATTCAAAATTCAATACCGTTTCATGGAATAATTCTTCAAGTCTTTTACGTTTTTCTGCCGCTGACATTCCTTTTTTAGACTATTTCGATTATTCATTTTATATTTATTTATTATCAATTTCAAAAAAAATTTAATAATAATAATTAAAATAGCGCGTATTTCTCTTTATTTACCATTGTTGTTGATGCTAAAGAATGCTACTAGAAAAATAAAAAACTTTAAATCACGCGTAAATCATGTATATCATGTGATTTTCAAGCTAAATATTTAAAAATTATTTTGATTTAATTTTTTACCAAAAAAATGACTATAAATAATAAACCAACAAATGCACCAGAACATTGTCCGGTATAAAGTCGTTTTCATTTATTTAATATTTATATAACCTTATTCAAATTGTTATCGTTAAATAGGGTCCAACTACACAAGAAGCAGGAAAAGCTTCTGCATGTCAAGGATGTCCAAACCGAAATATATGTGCTACTACACCAAAAGGACCTGATCCAGGTTTATTTAAAATGATCTTTAATTTAATAAATAAAATTTTTTCTAATTGCAATTAAATTAAATTTTAAGATTTACCATTGATTAAACAACAAATGAGCAATGTTAAACACAAATTAGTAATATTATCAGGCAAAGGAGGAGTAGGTAAAAGTACTTTTACTTCACAACTTGGTTTTGCTTTTTCAAGTAATGAAAATATCCAGGTAATTATTTATATTATCCTATACTATTATTCAAGGCTATTTTTATTATTATTTTTTAATTTTTAACTATTCAAAGGTTGGAATAATGGATATTGATGTTTGTGGTCCTTCAATTCCTAAAATAATGGGGTTAGAGGGTGAACAGATCCATCAAAGTTTGTCAGGATGGTCGCCAGTTTATGTACAGGAAAATTTGGGTGTGATGTCGATTGGATTTATGTTACCAAATCCTGATGAAGCAATCATTTGGCGTGGGCCTAAAAAAAACGGTGAATATGTATTATACAATTTGTATTTTTATATTCAAAAAAAAAAAATACTAAATTTTTTATATAATTTTCAAATAAAAAGGTTTGATAAAACAATTTTTGAAAGATGTTGATTGGGGAGAATTGGATTTTTTATTGATAGATACACCTCCTGGTACATCTGATGAACACTTGTCAATTGTTCAATATCTTAAAGACAGTGGAATTGATGGTGCAATTATAATAACTACACCTCAAGAAGTTGCTTTACAAGATGTAAGGAAAGAAATTGATTTTTGTAAAAAAGTTAAAATTCCAATATTAGGAGTAGTAGAAAATATGAGCGGTTTTATATGTCCAAATTGTAAAGTTGGTATCAATATTTTTATATAAATTTGATCACAAGAGATCACGCAGTAATACATTATTAAACTATTGCTTTCATTATTAGGAAGAATCAGTGATTTTTGCAGCAACAACTGGAGGTGCAAAAAAAATGGCAGAAGATAATGAAATTCCTTTTTTAGGTTCTATTCCATTAGATCCGAGAATTGGTATTATTGATCATTACCATGCTTCTTTTATTTTATTAATAAAAATATTAATAAAAATATTCTTATATTTATTTTTTTTTAAAAATCAGGAAAATCTTGTGATAGTGGACTATCATTTTTATATGAATATCCTGATTCATCAGCCAGTAAAGCTTATTTAAAAATCATTGAAGGTACTCTTGGATTAAATTTTATAGTTATAGTTGTCACTGTAAGTAATTACTAATTTAAATTTTTTTAAAAAAAAAAATTTCTTCTAGAAATCAATAACCAAATTAAAATTCATAAGAATATTTGAAAGCATTACAAAAAACTTTATATTTTTAAAATTATTTTTATTATATTGTATTGTAATATTTAAATAAAATATATTATTGGTGTATTTCTTATGTCTTTGATCCATAATTGATCTACAAATTTACATTCTCTTATATTGTTAAACCAAATAAATATTTAATTATAACTTTATTTATTTAATATTTTTTATAAAAAAAAAAAAAAGGAATTTGCTCTCATTTACCTGTTAAATGATGTGTGATTTATTTTCCTTACAATAAAAGAAAATTTCATAACACAGTCAATGAAAGAAAAGCCAATTTTTAAAAAACCTACCCACCTAAAGATGATTTATTATTTTCCATATCTTGTTTATTCATATCACTATCTTAACTATCATCTTCTTCAACATCTGGCAATAGAGCGCCTAAATTTGCCAATTTATCAGCACCTTCATTACCAGCTAAACCTTGATGACCACGAACATGTGTCTAATTTTTGTTAAAATAAATTATAAAAAAATAAATAAATAAATAAATATATATATATATATATATATATATATACAAATTTATAATATGGAAATCATAAATATGTTTACAATTATAACATGGCCCGGTCTTGCCCTAATTAAATTTGTTAATTTTATAAAAAGATCCCTGTTTTCCACATCTTTATTTCGACTTTTCCAGCCATTTTTTTCCCAATTTGGAATCCATTCATAATATGCTATAATTTATAAATATAAATTAATATTATCTTGATCCAAATGTTTATAAAATTTTAATTACCTTTAACAATATATATACTGTCTGTCCTGATTTCTAATGGACTATCAAGATCAGTACATGTTTCCAGTGCACGTATTATAGCCTGCAAACATCAGAAGAAATAAATTGATCAATAAATAATGTTTTAACCAAATAATAAAATAAAAGTAATTATGATAAATACACTAACCGTTATCTCAGCTCTATTATTAGTTTGCTTATAACCTGGTAACCTCTCACTTAAATTTCTAGTTTTAAAGGTAAATAAATATTAATCAATCAATCATCTTAAATGAATATTAATGTTATTAATATGTATATATAAATTACCTTGGATCATTATCTCCCCAGTATACACCAATACCAGCCCTTGCATTGTGTTTACCATTATTTCTTGAACTACCATCTGTCCACACTACAAGATTATGGGGTTTTGGCTAAAACATATATTATTTATCAAAGGCCATGAATTTTGATAATAATTAAGTATACTAATAATTTTAATTATAATCATATCATTGATAATAATAAAATTTAAACATACAAAATCTAAATTAGGTAAGAATTCTATTAATGAATTTTCAGATGGCATATTTGCATTTGAAATTTTAATTGCAAGATCTAAAGATAAAATTCTTTAGATTCTTAATACTTGAAATAATTTATCTGTGGTGTCAATTACAATTAAGATGAGATGATTAAATACCTTTCCCAATTTTAAAATCTATTCCTTGTAAAAATGTGCAAGCATCCTGATGTGTAAAAAATTTTTTATATTTGGCATTTGGAAATTTATCAGTTTGTTTCTTACACTCGTCCCTAAACCATTTAGCTGATAATATAAGTAATCTTGATTGATATGATATAATTCAAATTGATGTAAAAATTAAGTCTTTAAATTTTTTACCAGGTTGTATAAATCCCAGGTTCTCGACCAGTATAAACTGCATAATATGCTGTTTTACTTTTAGGCATCATTAAAATTACAGTATATAATGTTGAATTCCCAAAAGCTTTAGATCTTAATTTGTATAGTTTAGTTCCTTTAGAAAATAATACTATTTTTAACTTTAATTTATTTATTTGCAAATTTGATCGTAAATATTTTAGTAATTTTCGTGTAAACATCAACAAAAATAAAATATTAAAAATTCTTCTTTGCTGTCATAAATTTACTGATTTTATTGATATAGCATTTCCATCAAATTTTCAAAATAGTCAGTCACAAAATTGGAACGTCAAGAGGCTTATGAACCAAATTTTTGAGATCATCCAGAATAATAATAAACTACCTGTATGGGCTTGATCTTGCGTAACGTCAGAATTTTGAAAATGACCGACCGCTAGTAGTACTTTCGCACAATCAAAAATGCCAATTATTCACTTAATTATAAAACATAAAATTCTATTTTATTTGATGAAGGTATTCCTGTGGATTAGAATGTAACTATTGAATATTTTTTTAGAATGGGTCTAGTCCTAGCGCACAACAATATGTATAAAATGTTGGTGATAAACGGAGAGTTATGTATTCAAAATCAAAACTTAATTGTGAAGAATCTACTAAATTAAGTAGATTTAGATGGTGTTCAGTATACTTGTGGGGATTCTTTCAAAGGCTTAATCTCAGAAATGAGTTCTCGGGATTTTTAAAAGTAAAAAGCGATGATAAATTAAATTGTCAAAGTAACATGGAAATTTCATATTATTCATGTGGATTGTTTAAGGATGACATGTGTTTTTGTTTGTGGTGAACAATATGAACAAGAGGATATGTTAAATCTATTAGCAGATGATGAATTTTATTACTATTGTGATAAGTGTAGTGAAAAAAACAAGAAAAGGCGTAGTAAACCACCCTTAGTCAAAAAAAAGCAAAGTGTATATGTAAATAAAAAGAATTGTGCTTTATTTGATCACGTGAAATAAGATGTCATAAAAAACCTTTCAAAAAAAGTGACCCGAATTGAAAAATAGAGTTTTTGCGGCCTTATGGTGATGAAGTAGAAGAAGATGAAAACGTACATAAAAATAAAGGACATCTAAGATCATTTCAAGCTGTTCTAAAACCACTTTTAGAATCACTTTTTATTCAGGAAAGGATCGTATTCAATTGTAGAAATTTAAAATGACAAAACGTCTCACTTTAATTGTAACAGTGGGCGAAACGAAGCCACATTTACGTTATCGGCTAAATGCAAAAGAAAGTTAGATACAACTAAATTGATCTACTACCTATTGAAGTCTTTGAAGCATTGTAATTTAGTAAATTATCATAATTATCATACGTTTGCTTTGGTGTTATTAATTCTATTATTATATTTAAAAAAACATAATAGTTTATTGAACAATTGGTTTATAATCAGACATAAGGTTTTTGAATGATATGATTAGAATCGTTCATTATTTAAAAGGAATGTTATTAAATCATCAAATAACTTACTAAAATTTTTTGTTAAATATACATATACACACACCCTGGACAAAAGTATCCGGTTAAGGTTTTTTTGGCTGCAACATCTAACCAGTTGCAACTTAGTAAGGTTGCTGCGCGAAACCTAGTCCGAAATCGAGGCTAGTTTAATATTAAGCGATAGTTATAGAATAATAAACATGAAATTGTTTTTATATATTAAATATATTAATGGAATATGCTAAACATTTTTTTTTTTGAGACAAAAAAAAAAGTTTAAAGCTTTTTACTCGAGTTTTTTCGTCATTTAATTTTGCACAAAATATTTCCAACTATAGTTTCAACAAATCTAAGAAAATTACATTTATACCAAAATTACTGCGTTTTAACGAATTTTATATGCCTTTCTTTATTTGTGATTAAATTATAATTCGTTGAAATGAGGGTTAACTTTATCCAAATGAAAGAAAAATATATATATTTGTATTTATTTATTTGATTTATAAAATGAAGTCAGTCACGAATTAGCGAATGAATCAAAGTAAGGTTTCACCTGGCAACCTTAAATATAAACCGTGTGATGAAATATGGAACCGCCCACATCACTACTATTGCTGCTGCATCCAGGCTGCTCTTGATTTCTCATTCCACTTTAACCACCCTCCCCAAAACTTACACGCCTACAACAACCAGTCAATTTACGCTAGACATTCAAAAGACTCTATATCAAAAAGACCCAATGAGGATCTCTTCCGGTCAGGAAGATTTGACAAAATAACTGATCATTTATTATATGATGTTTCACTTGTTAATGTATAATTTGTTTTTTAAATTTAGGAAACTTTTTTACACGATTTCATAGATTTTATCGTTATTTTTATTTACTAATTTTCTTCCAAAAAAAATTATTTTATTATTATCAAAAATTAATCAACATCAATTATCAAGTCTGTTAAGTAAATATTGTATTTCAACTTCTTTTGTTAAAGGAATAACCCATTTTTCATATAATTCAACTACAATGTCTGCATTGAACTTTATTTCATGATTATCATCATTTGAAATTTGATTATTACCCAAATTAATAATATCAGATTCTGTAAAATCTTGTCCATAAGTTAAAGCCTTATGTCTAAGTCGTTTAAGCAATGATTCTTCAACTTGTTTATTTGTTAACAATTCTTCAAGTGCTTCGGTATTACTGGCTTTAATGTATTCAATATATTTTGGTTGAAGATTTGGATCAAGAAATTTTGCTTCAGCTACAAATTTACCTTTCAATAAATATAAAAATACAAATTAAATAAACACCAATTAAACTATTCAAGAAAATATTAAATATAAAAAATAAAAACCATAATGAATTCTTTGAGATAAAGCTTGTAAACATAACACATCTCTAGTTGCTGATGAACCATAATTTTGATCATCTCCTAGTGGACATAATTCTGGAATGATATTTTCAGTATAAAATTTCATTATTTTTGAATTAACATTTATATTATTAGATTTAAGTATTGTTGGGTATTCGAGAGCTGGAATGATTGGATTTGGAAGAGGATTTGTGAATGGATATTCATCTGGACTTTTATTATATTAACAATAAATTAGTTCTGATATTAATATATACATATAAAGTGATTATTATTTTAAAAGTTGAATTACCTTTGATATCTTCTTACTTTTGCTTGTTTTTTTTTTTTAATAAATATATTAACAGTAAGTAAAATAAATAAATGTAATCAAAAGCTGAATAATTTTAATAATATACCATGCAAAATTTCAGATTCTCTTAAGAAATAATCTAAAAAACTTCCATTGAAATCACCCTTTCCCTCA